AATACTAACATTAATAGAACGGTGACACACTGATAACAGAACTACGCGCTAGGACCACTATAGATACATTTTAGTTGTTATCAGGAAGACGCTGTTGCCCACCACCTGGTTTGTTTCCCTCTGCAGCCTGTTGCGACACCCACGAGACAATATGGTGCAGTGGATATTTTTACACCGAATACTAACATTAATAGAACGGGGACACACTGATAACAGAACTACGCGCTAGGACCACTATAGATACATTTTAGTTGTTATCAGGAAGACGCTGTTGACCACCACCTGGTTTGTTTCCCTCTGCAGCCTGTTGCGACACCCACGAGACAATATGGTGCAGTGGATATTTTTACACCGAATACTAACATTAATAGAACGGGGACACACTGATAACAGAACTACGCGCTAGGACCACTATAGATACATTTTAGTTGTTATCAGGAAGACGCTGTTGACCACCATCTGGTTTGTTTCCCTCTGCAGCCTGTTGCGACACCCACGAGACAATATGGTGCAGTGGATATTTTTACACCGAATACTAACATTAATAGAACGGGGACACACTGATAACAGAACTACGCGCTAGGACCACTATAGATACATTTTAGTTGTTATCAGGAAGACGCTGTTGCCCATCACCTGGTTTGTTTCCCTCTGCAGCCTGTTGCGACACCCACGAGACAATATGGTGCAGTGGATATTCTTACACCGAATACTAACATTAATAGAACGGTGACACACTGATAACAGAACTACGCGCTAGGACCACTATAGATACATTTTAGTTGTTATTAGGAAGACGCTGTTGCCCATCACCTGGTTTGTTTCCCTCTGCAGCCTGTTGCGACACCCACGAGACAATATGGTGCAGTGGATATTCTTACACCGAATACTAACATAAACAGAACGGTGACACACTGATAACAGAACTACGCGCTAGGACCACTATAGATACATTTTAGTTGTTATCAGGAAGACGCTGCTGCCCATCACCTGGTTTGTTTCCCTCTGCAGCCTGTTGCGACACCCACGAGACAATATGGTGCAGTGGATATTCTTACACCGAATACTAACAGTAACAGAACGATGACACACTGATAACAGAACTACGCGCTAGGACCACTATAGATACATTTTAGTTGTTATCAGGGAAGACGCTGTTGCCCATCACCTGGTTTGTTTCCCTCTGCAGCCTGTTGCGACACCCACGAGACAATATGGTGCAGTGGATATTCTTACACCAAATACTAGAATTAAGAGAACTATGGCACACTGATAACAGAACTACGCGCTAAGACCACTACAGATACATTTTTAAAACTAGCTATCCGTACTGCAAAATAAATTTTTATAATTATTATTCTGTAATTTGTCCGGTCAGCTTTCGTCTCATATTAAATTTCACAACAAGAATTAGAAGAATAGAAAAAGAGAACCCTTAATTGTCAACAATGCTTAAATAACATATTTACAATGAATTAAAAAGTTTTAAAAAAATTTCAAAATTTCAAAGTACCTATGACGTTCTCGTCCAAAGTCACGTTATCGTCATAGCCTTTTAAAAGTACACTGCTGAATGAAGCCTACCCGCCTGGCCGACGGGTGGGCAACCGCTGATTTTTAGGCAGGTAGACGCTGCCGCATATCTCTTTGTACATTTCCCTCTGTCACCTCTTACATCACCCATTTGATGATATGGATAAGTGGTTATTTTTGCTCTACCATTACACAATCAATGTCATGTTACGTATTTTTATTTCATTAAATTGTTATTTATATAAATTATTTACAAACATATATTTATGTGCCATTTTAATGTTTCTAAATAACTTATGAATAAAAAATATTTATCTAAGTAAAAATTATTCAAGTTTGTCTTCAAGTTTCGTGAAGCTAAATAGGTCTAAACGTCTGACATTTATGACTTTTTTGATAAAACTTAGGCATTAGTTATATGATAGTTTATAAAGCCATCGCTATACAGCACTTTAGTTGCACGTCACTTGCATCATCAACTGGAACTGTTTATCCACGACAACTTATCAAGTTAGCTCCAGAAACTCATAAGGGACTCGCTACACAGACGCTTGAGTACATAATTGGGTATCTTTTACTGAACTGTAAAAAGATGGACAACAGGCTTAAAGATAAGACACACAAAGCGCCACTACAGAAAAAATTAGAAAGAATGTCAAGGAAAAGAAATTTTAAATGTCATCTTCCCAATTTCATCATCATCATCATTGCAATCTATCAAAAGCCCACCGCTGAACACAGGCCTCCCTCAGAGATAGCCGCACAGAAGTTATATCTGACATAGTGGCCGAGCTTGCTGGCGAGATGGCAACCTCAACTATTTATTAAAAACTATTTATTAAATGAATTTGTGGCCAGGAAGATGCTGCTGCCCATCTCCTATTTCATTTCCCTTCTGTCGTCTCTTACGACACGCACGGTATGATATGGGGTAGAGGCGGGGTGAGGGTTCGCTAACGCGACCACTATACGGCGATTTATACAAAACTAATTACGCATTTGGCTACAGCTATGCGAGTTGCAAGTTCAGTCCTCGCATGAAACAAGCATGGTCTAAAATTATTTGCAAATTATTCCAAGTATGTTTACTTTTGAAAATTTGTGACACCTTTTAAATTTTCGATGTAAAAAATATACAATATAAATTTATTTGTTAAACATCAACATGCTTTTTAATTTACTTCTTTTAAATATAATATTTACGATACTTATATGTTACAATTATGCATTCCTACATCTCTGATATAAAGTGTATCTGTAAAATTTATTTGTCAATTGAAAGATAATACTATATACTTATTTGAAACGAAGCGTTGTTAACAAGTATAGTCTATTACTTAGAGCGGCAACACATGCATCGGGCGACTTCCTAAGGTTACTGGTTCGAGGCCAGAGTAGAAATGCAATTAGTCTTTTTATTGTTTCTCCCTTTTCTTTTTTATAATTCGTATAATTTTATGATTAATTTTATGGTACAAAATAAAGGAACTAATAGTAAGTAGTTTATGTTTCGTTGCTTGTAATTTTATTTTGCATTTAATGTGTAGATTTACATTTAGCTAAATATTAAGTGCTTTCCTAATTTAGTGCTGCGATTAATGTAGATTATGCTTAAGAGTTATCTAGTTGTTTGCTTTGTAGCGTCTTTATTGTAGCCTTACATGTTTCTTATAAATATCTTACACATTCACACATTTGTTTCTTGTCTTACCCGGACCCTAACCCCCATGGCTCCATGACATATTGGGGTTGCAAAATCTAAATATAGTACAAATTAATTTTTAAATACAGTTGTGCCACCGAAATTGACTATTATGCTATGCGTAAACGAACTATGCATTCCTTGGAGGAGGCTTGGACTTTTAAAGGGTTGTAGTGACGAAGACGATGATGAAACGAACTATGCGCCATTAGCAACGGAAGTCCACGGAGTAACTAGCGTTCGTTCGTAATATAATAAATACTTCATTGTGAACTTTGTGATCGGTGGCGTCCAAAGTGCAAAAAGTATTGCGTCGCGTGCTATCGATGACACGCGTGCCATTGGTTCGCCATCCCTGCTCTACAACATGCCCATGTCCAGCTGTGGACGGTTGCATGATGCTAAATGAATGCTATAAGAACTGGGCCTTTATGAATTATTTATCAAAATCTATTCTCAATTCATAATTTAATACGTTCATTGATGAAATTTCAAGTAAGACTTAAATTTTTAGGTCGAGCCTGCTTTTATGTAGGACCAAGGATGAATTGAAATAAGCTTTCAACAACCATTTATTCAGAATTATATAAATATTAATGCTTTGCGTATTGTAGGCTAATGGTTATGGATTATCTAAGAGAGAAAAACTTTAAGAATAAACATCTAGATGAATAGAATTTGTAGGAATCGCGAAACGGCCGCCGTCGCGAGTGGACGGACTCAATAAATACGAGATTAAAATTTGATATTACTTAATGACTAGCGGTAAAATTCATGTTAAAGTGTTATACTCAATCTGATTAGACTGTGCTGTTATTTTCTCAACGTGAAATAACCCAAAACAGTGCAACATTAAACTAAAAGTGAAGTGAATAAATCTCATTAAAAGAACAAATTGGTGAACTAAATCAAAACAACTACAGAGTGTGACTTTCAAAAACAACAACAAAAATAAACGGTGAACTATACAAATATTAAACTAAATAAAACAAAAATTATAATACGTATTATTTAGTACACTATAACAATAAAAGTGATGTATGTAACAACAACAAAACATACAATGACGCTATAATATCGTTTCAAAATAATAACGACCAATAATGTTTGTAAAAACCTAATATTAACCCAGTTACAGAAAAGTGTAGTAAAATTTATACTAAAAAAACTCTAGACTAAGTTCTTAAAAGTGATTAGTGTTTCATTACGAATAACAAAATCCGTTAGCGAAAAAATTATTTAAATTACATTCATAAATGAATCTACCTACTTGCAATTAAAGTTATCTGATAGAACTAGTAAGCGATCCATAATTTCGGTCGTAGAATCACAAGGCACCGTGGTGTGGAAACGTAACGCGCTACTAAGCCGTGGTATCGTCGTGGGTTCGAAACTAAGCTCCTACATGACTTTTTGCGATTTATTATAAATTTACAATTACAATCACTGATAATTCTACGGTCATACAAAATATATACTACATACTACAATCAATCAAGTTTGAATCCCGCTTAATCTGAAGACTTATTCGGATTGAAATAAATTGTTGAGACATTTGTTTAATAATTATAATAACAAAATATTGAATTTGAATAATACGTTATAAAAAGCAATTTCAAAATAATAAGTTACACTATGGATGAAAATGTAACAGTCAGAAACCGTAAACGAACAAAATCAATGAATGATTCTAGTACTTCGTCATTATTTGATTGCACTATGACAAGCCTCCCGGACGACACTCGGTCCCTAGATTATAAGGATATAATAGAACTGACTGAAACTATAAAAAAGCTGACCTGTGAATTACAATCTGCACACCAGGAAATAGATAATTTAACATGCGAAAATGTACAACTCAAATCAGACTTAGCGAAGGCAAACAAAACGATCGAATTATACAAAAAAGTTACTATTGCGAGTCCAAGACTTACACCACGATTAGACCGTAAAAAGAAAAAGAAAGATTCTTTGAGTAGCCAAATGATCCAACATACAAACATACATTTAACAAATGATATGTTCTCAGACAAGGAAGAAACATCTAAACAGTTTGAAGAAAACACAAAAAATTGCAGCGATATTGTCAGCAAACAAGAATCAATGAAAACTCGCCAAACTATTATTAGAAAACGGAAACTCTGTATTTTAACTAATTGTAGTGTGAAAGGTAAGTTACAGGATATTGAATCCACATTTGCTGAACAATTTAACTACTGTCGCTATATCACACAAAACTGTGGAGTATTGGAAGTGTTGGCAGGTATTAAAACAAAGCTGCGAAACTATACTATTAATGACTACTGTTTAGTCCTGATAGGAGAACATGACTTTACAAAAACTGTAAATTGTTCTGAGCTTGTCAAATCTATTCAGGAATGTTTACAAAGCATATCTCATACAAATATAATATTATGTGTTCCTACATATATATGCGGAGCCCCCATATTTAATTATAAAATAGAAATGTTTAATAGCTTATTATCCATGAATGTACAATACTATAAATATGCATATATTTTTGATTCGAATTATAATCTATCGTATGACATGTTTTCTTACAAATCTGGTAAAATCAGCAGTTATGGATTACAGAATATATATAAAAATGTTATGCAACGAATACTAGTCGACATATCAATATTTCCATATAACACGGACACTACGTGTAGCATTGATGAAGCAAGTAATAATATACGTAAATGCACTGCAAAATCGCCAATTGCAATGAATTTTATGGGTGACGCTCGGCCTGATACACCAGAGTTAAACACCTGTGATGACCATGTAATTGCAGAACAATCTAAAACATTTTTTCGTTAATTGTAAACATATAAATATATTACATCAAAATATTAATGGCGTTATAAGTAAGTCAGCTCTTTTAACTTTAAATCTCAATTCTCTTTTGGAACAGGGTATCCTAGTTGATGTAGTATGTTTAACTGAGCACAATATGTTGAAAGGTGACACAAAATTATTATTCATAGAAAACTATATACTTGCAGCCTCTTTTTTGTCGTAAAAACCGTCATGGCGGTGCCTGTATTTTGATTCACAATCATCGTGAGTTCAAAACATTAAATTCTATAGAAAAATATGGCGTTTCGGGTATAATTGAGTGTTGTGCCATAGAACTTACATTGCAGTGGTAAATTAAAAAGTGACCTTTCAATAAGTATTTTTATAATCTACATTGAATAAAAAAGTTTTTTCTATTTCTATTTCTATTTGCATGGTATAATAATAGTATGTATTTACAGACCACCTAGAAACAATACACAAAGTTTTGATCAGTTTTTTTGCTATATTTAATGACATACTTGCTGCATTGTGCTTCGCAAGGAAAAAATAGTTATATGTGGAGATTTCAATATAAACATTTTAAAAAACAGCAAAGAGGCTAACATTCTAAAACAAACAATTATTGGCTATAATCTTAAATTAGCCATTAATAAGCCAACGCGTAATGTAAGTGGATCTTGTTTAGATAACTTTATACACAATATTAGAGGAAGTAAATACATTTTTGAATTCGCTCTGTCTGACCACTCAAGCCAAATGTTAACTTGTAAAGTCAAAGAAACTTGTTCTTTCCCACATTGGTTAATAAAATGTAGAGATTACAGTAATGAAAACATGAAAAAATTCAATGAATGCTTAAAATCACTTACTTTTAACGAAATTTACAATACAACTGATCCAAATTATGCATTCGATTATTTGCATGAATTATTCATATTATTTTATAATTTATGTTTTCCATTTATATTAATAAAAAGAACACTTCGGAAAAAACCTTTCTGGATATCGAAAGGTATAAAAATATGTGCAAAACAAAAAAGAAAATTACTTTGGCAATATAGAAAACATCCGACTAATCACAGTTGTAACAACGCATCTGTCATCTAACAGGGCTGCAGTAGCCACTTATGCTCAGGTGGACTGGAAGTTTTTGTTACTTCGGTTTCATAAAAATGTTCAGTAACGATCAGATTGCATCCCTTTGCATTTTCTATTGTATTTACCATGGAGAGTGTTTTGAGGAATTGTTCCCAGCCGCCAAATTTCACGAACGCACATCGCGTTAAAATTCCCGATACCATCCTCACCATCTGGATGCTTGGCGGTCCACTACTGTGCCTTTCACTAGGAGGTTTCTTCCTCGTACAACTTCTCTGTGGAATTGTTTACTACCGGCGACTTTTTCGGACCGATATGACTTAGGGACCTTCAAAAAAGAGCTTTCTAAAAGGCTGGTAACGCATCTGGAATTCCCCTGGTGCTGCGGTTGTTCATGGGCGTCGGTAGTCACTTACCATCAGATGATCTGCATGCTCGTTTGTCCCCGTCTTCTATAAAAAAAAGATTAAAAAAGATCAACTTCAATATTTAAATATGTATTTCCCTTACAATATGCTATTTGCAACCGAAATATTTTGGATCTTCACGGATCCAAAATTTTGGATGAAACCGAAACTACAAGTCAAATGTATTTATATTACTTATCATATTAGTATGCAAATTACACTCAATTTTAATTCTTTGTTTCAGAATTGTACGCAGTTAAAATAGTCAAAATAGAATGTGCCAGATATAGTACAGTACGGTGTGCAAGACGCTGTGATTCTAGACTGTGACTATACTTACGGTAACAACACATCGGGACTGGTAGTGAAGTGGTTTTTCGGAAACAAAGCTAGACCTGTCTACCAATGGATCGTGTCGCAAAAGCCACAGGACATGGGGATATTGAGAGGTCGTGTTGACTTAGCCTACAGAGCATCAAGCGATCCATTAAAAATGCACAGAGCACTCCGCATAGTGAAGCCCAACACCGACATCTCTGGTGATTACACGTGTGTCGTTTCAACATTCATGGACGAGGATTCAAGAACTAAGCAAATGATTGTTTTTGGTAAGTAACTTTGTTAAGCTCGTTAAAATATGTCAAATATTTGAACAAAACCAGACAGATGATGTAGCTATTTGCGTTGAAAATTAATCTTTATAACTATTGAACTTAATGATTTCTTATATTTATGCGAGCACTGCACATTATTTCGGTATATATAAGTTTTAATAGTTTTAAGTGCTGCGGGTGGGTGCCGTCGCATGCGACCGCTCGGGATTTGCCGGGCGCATGCGACTGCATGAGAATTTTAAGGGGACTGAGAGGTTAAAGTTCACTACCCTCTTAACAGTCAACTCAACATCCATCCCGTCTATGTGTCAAATATCTATTATCAGTAACTGTTATCCATGGTAGCGATTCGATTCCCGCCATTTTCCACCATTTAAAAAAGAACTTTAATTTTTAATATATTTCGCTTTTAGCACTAATGTTATAATAACATGTAAAGTTAGATAAGAAAATGTTTATTATATTTTATTGTATAAGTCATAAAATTATACCACTATATTTAAAGAAAACACGTGATTAAGTAAATTTTTCTCCCGGGAAGTAAATACAAGCCGCGATGGTTGCAACATATAAGAAATGGCGCCGTTTAGAAAGATACTTTTGAGGACCTACTGAACATAGGCCTCCCCTTAGACTGTCTCTTTAGGGGGATATTTGCCATAGTCATGACACTTGGTAAGCGATTTGGCAAACATCATTTATTTTTATTTTATATCAGGTACGCTGCTGCCCATTTACAGCCCAGTTATATCAAATAGTATATATTCTTACACGTAAATGTTTTATATTAAAATAAAATAATGCGCAAAAAAAAAATGATCAGCATTTCCTTAAAAAATAGTTAAAGAAACAGAGTCATCTCACGGTAGAGCACAAGCACCCTTCTTGGCAGGCTCCTAGTTAAAGCGACCTATGTCGTCCCAGTGCCCATTGGTGCAATTCAAAAATACTTTGTATTACAAGCCGTGCCAGTTGTCACTTACGGTTTACGGTGTAGGTTTGAACGTGGTAAAGCGTAGCGTTTCAATTTGCGATTCATTTGTTCGAATTATCGAATATAAGTGGTAGAGCCACGCTACAGTAACATTATGATTGTAGCACTAATGGGTCGGCTCTACTAGGGTAGAACCACTCTGTCACGGAATACAAGTTTTTACTGTAAACGAGACATTCCGTCTTAGTCCTCAGGGGTGACAACACGTTTGCATTTTGATTCTTAATAGAGGATATAGTAATATGTAGATATCTATGAGCCACAGTATCCACTTACCATCAGGTGGACTGTGTGCTCAACAGTCCATCTGGTGGTAAGTGTCAACTTTATCCTATGAATTTATCTGATTGTGTTATGAAATATGGAGCGTCCTGGTATTGAGCTAACGGCTGTTGTTTATTATTGAGCAATAATACACTAATTAAATAGCCACTAAAACTTATCCCATGTTATAAAAACATTAAATAAAAACAAAATTGTTCATGTTTAATGATCGATATTAACGTAGATAACTGTTTATTTTTTTCTTATTTTTTGTTTTGTTTTTGTTAAATACATGAATAGGTACTATATTAGTTTTTAAAAGATTTTATTTGAAAATTGTAACTTTATTTTCTCAATGTGCTTCATTTCGAATATCCGAATAAATTAAATCCACTAATACAAAAGCAATCAATTTAATACTTCGAACAAAAGTTGTAACCGTTCCGTAGCCAGATGGAATTTGGATGAATGAACTGAATATTTTATATACAATTCAAAGGCGGACAATTTGCTAAATTACATTAAAAACACTTCACCCATATCGGGCCTTAATTATGATATCGCTAAACCCTTCTCAAGAAATGTATTAAGGGATAACCTCGGGTAACTATTGAATGAAATTTTTCTTGGATTTTCACTACGATTTCAGTACGATTATTGCAGGGTCATTACTTAAATTCAACAACATTTAATTTAACGTTCAGAATGTTAAAAGTTTTATGATTTTAAAAGTTTACCTGTCAGCGAAAACAACGCAAGCGTTAAACGATCGAAATGTTCATATTTATACGAGTATGAATGACTCACGGCACAGTGCAATGATAAGTTGAACCCATGTTCATTAGCCTGTAAGCTCTGCACTCTTTAACCAAACCTAGATTTTTTCGGTAGAAAATACTTTTGCCAGCAGTGATATTTCTTGTTCCGGAAGGGAATAGGGCTGGTATAATTACAGGCTGTAAGGCATTCCATCTTAGTCTACATAAGTGACAGTTACAAGGCGTCTGTAGCCTACTTTATTTAAAGTGAGTTGCAGATGTCCAGGTACTGCAGTAGCTACTTCACTAGCCTATTAAAAATTAAATCACTGATCAGTATACATTATATTTTTGTACAGTTATACATTATTGGTAGTACCTATAGTATATAATATACATAAAATAAATTATATATTATAAAAAATCTAACGAAAAAACGGAATTTAGAAACGGTTTGTTTTCTGCCTAGCAGCCTGTCTGGACCCTCTTACCTATTTATGTCGCTAAAGCGGTCCGGTTCAATATTAAGGACTTTATTGGAACTACATTTATTTCACGCTACAATCGAGTATAACCAACAAACCAATTTTTCTCAAGTAATATAATATTTAATATAACTTATATCAACTAAGCCTGCCTTAATTAAACTGACAATCTAAAATAAATGCTTTATTACGGTACTCGATTGAAGGTACAAAATATTATTACGTAAAGAGTTGGGACTTAAGGACGCGTTTGCAAATCAACCAAAATTAGGGTGTTTTTCGGTAGATTTTGTGACAAAACTAAACCAAATCAAATATAAGTAAAAACTACCATGTATAGATTGGTTCTTCATCTGCAAATGTCTGTAACTCTTTTGTTGAAAATAGTAGTTTTTTATATTGTAAAAACGAACTTTCGTTGCCATTTTCTACAAAATTAACGATACCGGCTTGTGTTTCGGTAAATGTTTTGGTCTATTATCAACATATTTAAAAAAATTTAAAAAATACTATAAGATGACAGACATATTCAATTAAAAAACCCTGGGTTTATTTTTTAACAAAATGTCACTAATAGTCGTAAAAAAAAATAAAAACTGATGCACATTTTTTCGCATATTTTGGTAATATGGATGAATCATAATGTATTGCAATAAGGGCTATTTTATTGTTGGTGCCTGCTTTGATTTATTGTACAAAGATTTCGATGAAACCACAGTTCGCGCTCGGCCGCCGTCGTGAGTGGACACTGTATCGCCTGTTTGCAGCGGCTCATTCTGAAAAGATCGCTGTACATACACAAAATATTAGAAAAAAACAAATTGGAAACATAGGTACTTGACAAGTGATAAAATTATTATTTTTATACTCACAGTTTTTATTTAGCTAAAAATAAGTAGGATATATAAACTTACCTACTACTGCAACTCGTGGACGAGCGGAACTAGGTGTGCCGAGTTTGGGCTCGTTTTGTTGGTTATGATGAGACCTTACCTCTGGACTTGATGGCATGACCTGAAGGTGTACTTTCGTGACCGCTATTTGAACTTCTTGCAGAGTAAAACTAGGGGTGACGAATTTGGGCTCCGTTTTGTTAGTTATGACGAGTCTATACCTCTGGACTTGATGGAGTGACCTGAAGGTCTAAATCGGTGATTGCAACTGGAACTCCTAGACTGGTAGAACTAGGTGTGCCGAGTTTGGGTTCGTTTTGTTAGTTACGATGAGACCTTACCACCGGACTTGATAGAGTGACCTGAAGGGGTAATTCAGTAACTACTGCTGGAATTTCTGAACGAGTAGAACTAGGTGTGCCGAATTTGGGCTTCGTTTTGTTAGTTATGAAGAGTCCATACCTCCGGACTTGATGGAGTGACCTGAAGGTGTAGTTCAGTGATTACAAGTGGAACTCCTAGACTTGTAGAACTAGGTGTGCCGAGTTTGGGTTCGTTTTGTTAGTTACGATGAGACCTTACCACCGGACTTGATTGAGTGACCTGAAGGTGTAATCAGGTGGTTACAAATGGAATTCCTAGACTAGTAGAACTAGGTGTGACGAGTTTGGTTTCGTTTTGTTAGTTACGATAAGACCTTACCACCGGACTTGATGGAGTGAAATTCGGCACACCTAGTTCTACTGGTTCAGAAATTCCAGCAGTAGTTACTGAATTACCCCTTCAGGTCACTCCATCAAGTCTGGTGGTAAGGTCTCATCATAACTAACAAAACGAACCCAAACTCGGCACACCTAGTTCCACCAGTCTAGGAGTTCCAGTTGCAATCACCGATTTACACCTTCAGGTCACTCCATCAAGTCCGGAGGTATGGACTCGTCATAACTAACAAAACGGAGCCCAAATTCGGCACACCTAGTTCTACTCGTTCAGAAATTCCAGCAGTAGTTACTGAATTACCCCTTCAGGTCACTCCATCAAGTCTGGTGGTAAGGTCTCATCATAACTAACAAAACGAACCCAAACTCGGCACACCTAGTTCTACTAGTCTAGGAGTTCCACTTGTAATCACCGAATTACACCTTCAGGTCACTCCATCAAGTCCGGTGGTAAGGTCTCATCATAACCAACAAAACGAACCCAAACTCGGTACACCTAGTTCCACTAGTCTAGGAGTTCCTATTGTTGTAATCACCAAATTACACCTTCAGGTCACTCCATCAAGTCCGCAGGTAGGTAAGGTCTTATTATAACTGACAAAACCAGTTCAAAGTCCAGAGCTAACATCTCACTACCAGTAGAGGGCTTCCAGTGCCAAGCAGTCTTTGGAGCAGGTATTCATATTTCGTATCGAAGTATATTTCTGAGGTAGGTATAAGAAATGAAAAACAAATTCAATCTTTCAAATTATCAAAATAATTTCATTTGACTACGATTCCCACAGCCAACCGTGCGTACACTAGTGTGTGTGTGACTTTTGTCAATGTAGTAGTGCGATTCTATACCTATCCATTTTGTAAACGCGTCCTTAAGGATCTAGGATATGGCACTTTAATTATATGTAGATGATGATAACACATAAAGCCTGGAATATACGACATTAGCTACATATGGATTGTGTTTAAAACATCTAAGCATAAGTAATCTAAATTAAACAACCTGAACAATCTATTAAATAGTTCTTTACATGTTTTCTCTGATTTCATTGTGTGTGATTCTACTTGTTGTTATGCTGACCTAAGTCTAGCGATTTTATTCAGCAGAGTATTAAACTATGATTTTCTAAACGTTACCCCGTAACGTGGTATTAGGATTTTTCCTGTGTCACGGAGGCAGTTTACACACATAAATTGCACAAGGACAAACAAACATTCAGAACCAAAACAATTATTTGTAAGCAATACAAACACTTATTCCGAGCGGGATTCGAACCGGCGCACCCTCAGGGCCACGGATTCTTATTATACTCACTTTTATTTTGAAAGATATCGTTGTTCATCTTCTGTTTCTGTTTCCATCTGTCACCTTGTACGATACACATGGGATTATATGGGATAATGATTTACCCTAGTACGCCGCCACCACAAGGCACTAGTCTTATTTATACGTTATAGAGCCACGCTGCATCTATATTATACTTGAAGCACGGATGGGTCGGCATGACCAGGAAATAACTCGCTCTCACATAATACCAGCGTAAAACAGCAGCACAATGCTGCTGTGTTTCGTATGGTGAGTGCAGAGAACCGGAGATTCTTTTTACTGGATACGCGCTTATCCATCTTAGTCCTCAGGGGTGAAAACGCATCCGCATTTGAAATCTTATTTAGGGATAGATGAAGATGTCTACGGACGACATCATCCACTTACCATCAGGTGGACTTTGTGCCCTAAAAGAATTTATTCCCCTATTCTAAAAGAATAATTCAATAACAATTGTAATATTTGAAAAATAATTACGTATTTTCACCAACTGATGCATTCTTGAAAGGAAAAATATCTAGTAGTGGTCTTAAAAAAACAGTTAATGTGATAAAAGTGAACAGAAACTGTAAACCACAAAATTAATTTTTTTCAAAGAGCGAGTATAAAATGATGAAAAAAATTGCTTCGAGAAACTTAATACTATTCGAAAGAAGTTCACCACCATCTCAGCACGCGCCTGTTTTTTACAGTTCATTAACCATCACCTGCCATCTTACACAATGTCCTTAGAAGTGTCATGTTTCAGTACCGGAGACGAACTTCCGCCTGATCCAGAACAAGACTCACGATGATACTGTGAACGTGTTATGTGCTGCGGACGGAGCGTTTCCTGCACCAAACCTCACGCTAGCAACACCTGAGAGGTACGTTACTAACCTTTATATTCTTTTGTAGTGTAGTTTGAACTTAACAACACCATCTTGTCTAACATAAGATTATTAAAATTTTTAAAGTATATTATTATTCTTTAAGTATTTGTAAATACGTACTCTTTTAACGCTGTTTTGGGAGTTAACAAATCAAGTGCAATTTAAGTCGCTCTTAAACCAATAAGTTATTTTTAGTAGAGACAAGCAAATAAGTAGCAGACCCGGACAACTTGTCTTATAGATTTCATTCCTAGGCTCGTTAAATATAACAAAAATACCTAAATATGCGTGTGAAGATATATAATGAATTACCTAAATAATTTAAATTATTAAGCGAAGGATCATAGATACAAGAAACATTTGTATAATTGGTTAAAACATAATGATTTTATGACTTAATAGATTTTTTTAAAGTGATTAGTTAATATTGTCGTATAAACTGTTAAACATTATAATTTGCATTATATATTATATTGTTAGTGAAACTTGAATACACTGTATAAATTTTAAAATCTTCTTATACCGTGATTCTTGCAAATAAAGATTTATGATTTATGAATTTACACTGTGAGAATACAATGTGTATCGATTTCGGGAGTTTTAATTAATTTTCAATTGGATGTATGTTGTAATAGATTTGAATTAATTAAAATTGAAATCTAAATATTTCCGTACTTATGTTCCGTGTCTATGTGTGTGCATGCGTGTGTGTGTGTGAATTTTTCATCTAAACAAATAATTAAGTTTTCAGTAAAATAGATTAAGTTTTGCAGTTCTTTTTTAAAATTGTTTACCAATGGGCAGTTCACACATGGATTAAAAATAGTCAGCGAACAGTCACACTTTACATAATGCTACATACTATATTCACATCAAAAAAAAAAACTATATGTTTTATTGAAAGGAGGCTGGACGGAGTTTCCCATGAATTGAAACTGGTGAACGGCAGATACTCTGCGATAGCTTCGGTTACGTTGCTCGACGCTGACCTTCCTTCACCTGCGGAGTTTATTTGCACTCTCCGAATACCTTTAGCAAAATACGCAGTAAGGAAAGAAGCAATTTACTATCCGGGTAAGAATTTCCTTTTATTATTTTTTCGTATAATCCTATCATAAAAAAGAGTAGAATAGCATATTAATTAGGAATTTTGATGGGAGCGTAATCGCAAGCAGACTTTTGCTCTTGTCTTATGATTTTTATAAAGGCTTGAAGTAGATTTTTATCCGTAAAAGTGGTGTCGTTTTATGTATAAAAAATCTGGAATGGGATCTATTACATGAACCTATAAATTCGCCGGGAAGTCTACGCCGTAACAGATCACTCCATATCCGTACCGTTGCCGTTGTAAGAGACAACTATGGGAAATGCTAAAAAAGTCTTATGATTAAGGCAAATTGTCCTTACAACGGGAGAAGTCTATGTCTAGCTGTAAATTTACAGGCAAATAAAAAAGAAACATGATGAATCAATTGAGTCCGCGCCTTGATAAACTACCGTCATCGACTGTCTACTTTCGTGTACTGCTTTGATGATCCAGTGTTTGTAGTACTGCGACTGCTGATCATGAGGTCCTAGGGTCGAATCTCCGGTCAGGCCAAAAAAATAATTTTTAAATTTTACTGTCAATAAATTCTCAGTAGCTGCCCGGGGTCAGGACGTTGGCGGTGTCTAATCCCCGTGCCTCGGAAAGCACGTAAAGCCGTTTGTCCTGCGCCTGACCTCTCTACGGTCGTGACGACGTTACCGTCCCATCGGGTTATGACAGTGCACCTGTGCATCGAGTCTCGTCCGGACCGCGCTAGTGAGCGGTCTCGTCCGCCGGTCGTGTACTCCCGCCCGTGTGGGAGAAGTACAGCGCGTCGCTTCGCAGTGGGTACATGTGCTGTGGGTCCAACTCGCCTTGCGTGGAGCCTTGAGGGCGACCCTGACCCCACGCGGGATGAAGATTACCTAACGCTGCGTTTCACCTACACGCTGGAACCGAATTCCGAAGGCCCGGTACGCCCTTGTGCGCGCGCCTGTTGGTGACTTTGGCTCCGCGTCGAGATGCTTCTCCGCGGAACCTGAGGTTGCTGACCCTTCGGCAGATTCCCTTCCCAGAGGCGCGAGACACGCCAACTTCTGCCTAGGGATACCAAGCCTTCAGCTAGAACCAGGAGCACTGGAGGCCCGGAGCAGCTGCTGTTGGAGCGCACTCCTGTCGGCAAGATTGGCCCTGCGTCGACTCCTTTCCTCGGGACTACGCGGGACTTTGAGACTGCCGACCCTCCGGAAGCACCGACCTGGTGGCGCGCAATACGCCAACGTAGATTACCATCAATGTCGTACTTGTACGGCTCCCAAGACCGGCTCATAGATATGAGCTGTGAGGATTACCCGGGTAATGGGGAACTCCCCGAGGCCCGATAACTGCATGGGATAAACAATAGTAGTCTCATAGCAGATGACAACAGCGTATTATATATATATATATATATATATATATATATATATATATATATATATATATATATATATATATATATCATACTTTTAAATTTAACTCTTTTTTGGCGCGTAAACAAAGATAATTTTTCGTTTCTTTAAAGCTTGAGATAGATTTAATTAAATACGATTTTAGAAAGCAAACAGTATCGGAGACCTTGCTAACAATATCATGTGTTCTTTTAATATGACATGGAATTTTAGGGGATATATATTGGAAATTTAGAGCTCTGGCTTAACAAAATGCAACGACGTGAACAGAAAGCTATTATTTATTTAAAACAAGCCATCATTCGTTTTATGAGTCGGAGTACCTACATCTTTTAATTTGCGAAGGCCTTTTAAGCTTTTTACCGACGGAAGGTTCGTGTAAAATAAGCTATCTAAATTGTAGGAGAGATTAATTATTTAATGCAGCATTTACCGTGAATAATTTTATGCGCCGTTAATTTCATTTTATGCGGGAAAAAAGTCTCTACTCTCTAGAAAATTAGTGGATAAGGGAAAACACAAACACTTTTTCAAGGCGTCCGCATCTAGTCTTAATGAAAAGTTAACAAGAAGGCAAGTCAAGCGTGATTTCAAATGAAAAATAATTCGCGCTGATCCTTATTTCAGAAGATTCATAATACTGATAACGTTTTATTAGACGCAAAAAAATAAAATAGTCCTTTGTAAGCATCCTCTTAATAGGATTCGTGAGACTGAAAATTTATGAAATGTGTTAATTATAAAAACAGCTTTTATAATTATTGCAAATGTATATTGAAATATTAAAAAGATTTCTCTTTAAGTCATGTTTCAAATAGAATTTAACGAAGTTATTCACAGTTCCAATTAAAATTAAACTAAAATAGTTGATACAGAATGCTTTATAGAAACTTTAATATATTAGTTACTTTGTAATTGCCAAATTGCAGATAATATAATGATGATAATGAGTATATTCACTTAAATTGTAAGTTTCATTGCTCATATTTCTGAAAGGATTATGGAGCAATGGTCCACCCTGACGCCCGTTGTCGTACTTTACACAATTTATTAGATTTTTATTCTAAGACACGGAGGTTTATTCACAATGTTTTCCTTCATCGCCGAGTACGTGGTAAAGAGCTCTTTAAACTGCTATTAACATTTTTATTGGTGTTGACGAGGATCGAACCCGAAATGCTCGCGTAATGTGATATTTTGAGTGAGTGCGAAGTAAGCGAGCTACGTCCGCTTTGATATGAACCTTTACGTGTAATAACCTGTATAAAACAAAGACATTTTGAAGTATAATGATGGTTTTCCTATATTGGATTCCTTTCTTTTGTGTTTTTATAAACATGTGTTTCTCTCATTAGGACCCATTAGCACAACTCCTGAAATGCCCACCGCGGCCGACATGCAACTCGCTGCGGCTATTGGCTCCAAAGGTGAGAAATCTTCTATATAGATAAGCATAAACTAAGGCCTTTAATATAAGAGCGTGCGCATGAGTATACGTGCATGAGCGACACCTTTTATGATGAACATTCCGCCGCGCCGAACGCTCTTCAGTGAAACCTAACTCTGCAGCCACAGCTTATGTGGTTTGAACTTACAGTCCACATAACGGTAACTGGTACTACAGCTCATGGTCACCAACTGACTTACATTGTTAAAATAATAATAGTTTTTTCGGAATTTATCGCGTATATGTATTTAACTTTTTAAATACCCGACGTTTCGAGGCTTTACAGCACCTATGGTCACGGGAAGGACTGAGATGTTCAACGTCCAGATGTCAAAAGATTAAAATTTAACTTTTGTTTAATAAATATAGTAATAATTTTAATCTATGGTAACCGCGGTTAACTATGACAACGTCGAGTATTTAAAATGTTAAATATACGCGATAAATTCCGTAAAAACTAGTTTATTTCAATGTGTAGTGTTCGCGTAAATATAAGAAATCATTACGACTTACTTTGGTTTAAAGAACTTCAACTTTCGTCACTTACAAAAGAAAAATAATATCTATATTCCACGCCCAGGGGTAGGTATCCGAAAATACCCCATATATGTTATCCGAATTTTTGTAGTTAGTTTTTTGTATTTTTTTAGTGTTTTCTGCCGGTTGGGCTGCAAAAGTTCATATATTTTTTGTAGTAGTTATTTTTCACTTTTTTAAAATGATTGTTTTGACTGATACTTTCACATGTATAGTAATATACTTGCTAACATTCCAGAAAGTTACTCAAAAACGTAAACAAAGTAAGAATTTTAGTGTTAGTATGGTAGACTCAAATTCTCAACTTCAATTTATAAATACAAAAGGGATTTTATAAACTTTGCAGGTCCCTTAACTATCCGTTTTTTTTTTCACTTACACTTCTTTATTGTCATCTAGTACTAAAGCATCTATGTCTTTTGATGTCAAGGGCGATACTGGTCGTTGTGTCAAATCTTTAACTACCTTTTTATTACCCAAAAAAAGATTCGCTTGCGATGCCTATTAATAGATTGATTTTTAATTTGCTTTTATTTCATACATTATTTTACTAACAATATAAAGTAAAATAAAACTTTATATTGTTAGTAACTAAGTTGCCCACTACACCTTTCACAAATTTAATTTATAAATTATTCACGTCAGTGCTGGTGCATGTGAATCCACTAGCCCATATCATCCCGAGGATGTCGTTACAGGTGTCAAAGGGAATGGGCAGCAGCATCTTCCCGGTAAATACTGAATAATAAAAACTGCGGCTGATAACCCGCCTGCAAACTGTGTTAACTATGATCAATATCCTAGGGGGGACTTTATTCAGCAGTGGATTTTGATGGTATATGATGAATGAAATATTTTACTATTATTCTCATAGTTGAACAAAACATTTTTAGTTGTATTTGAACAAAACATGAGTTAACGGTCCATTGTATCTCAGTTGGCTTCGCCATCCCATTGACACCTACAGTTACTCAGCACTTAAGCAAAAAATACCACATATGCTTTGTTACCCTCGAAGGCTAAGATAAAATGTCTTGCAGTCTGAAACCGTGTTTGTTTTTAACCCAGAACATTTGAACCAAGACAGAGCGATGTGTTTTGTATAATTTAATAAAATTTTACTTTTTTATTATAAAATTGAAGTAACAAATGGTTTTACGATTCATCTGATGGTAAATGGCTATTACTGCCAATGGACACATGCAACGAACTTTAAGGAAAGAAATCTACAGATACGGTATCTCTCTACTAAGACAGAATTCTCAATAGCGTGTATACCGACCCGATACACCCTGCACGCTATTATGTAAGTAACGATGTTTAACGGCAGAAAGGGAGGAATCTTAGGAAGGAAAGCAATTATACCACCTAGAAACCTAGTCAGAAATTAGAAAGAAACAGGCCCAGTTATTTTTTAATCGTTATTATATAGTATTACGTTTATCTATAAACGTGTTCGCTCTTAATTTTTATATTTTCATCACTACCTTTATTTGTTTCTTTTTTTTATTATCTAACTAAGTCTATAACCTATAGAGAAAAAGTAGGTATATTTGTTATTTTCTTAAGTAGGCATTAATAAGATTGAGATCTTCCAACATTTTTTATGGAATAAAGCTTAAAAAAAACACAGAGCGAGAGAGAGACCTCCTAATTCTCCTGATACATCGATTAAGATTCAAAATGCAGATGCCTTGTCACCAGGAGAGGACGTTTTCGTGGTAGAGCCACGCGGCAGCTTTGCTGTCGCACGTATGGGCCGGCTCAAACCGGGGTTGTACCACGACCTCACAGAATACCGGCGTGAAGTGGAAGCTCTGCTTCCGCGTTTCGTCTGGTGAGTGCAGGTGGCCGGAGGCCCAAATCCCCCCCCCCCATCAACATGGTAGCGGAATTAAATGATAGACTACCCCAGGAGGGTACCAGCACCCCTGGAGAATCCCTCGCTGAGCGTCCACGACCATGTTTCTCCACTTCTGAGCGTGGGTGCTCAGGCTGCCCCGCGTATTCTGGGGGGGGGGCAATATTCCGCTCAAGACTAAAACTGCTCGGGGCAAACGGAGCAACAAGGCCAAGGCGACCCCTGTCACGCTGTCCGTGAATTTCTGCAATATCAGGGGACTTCACTCTAACCTAAACGCCGTCCACTACCATCTCGAGACGGCGAGACCGGCTCTGCTCTTTCTGACCGAGACGCAGGTGTCCTCTCCGGCTGATGTCTCGTATCTCTCCTGCCCGGGGTACAAACTGGAACACTCCTTTGTGCCTCGGGCTGGAGTTTGCGTTTACGTCAGAGAGGACATCTGTTCTCGACGCCTCGGCAGACTTGAAGGTTCGGACCTGTCCATCCTTTGGCTACGCGTAGACAGCGACGACCATCCGCGCGTCTACGGGTGCCTCTATAGGTCCCATAGCGGTAATGCCGAAACAGACCGACTCTTCGACCACGTCCAAATGGCTGCAGATTCGTTGCTACAGCAGATCTCCTCCGCAGAGATCGTGATCCTCGGCGACTTTAACGCCCATCACGCCGAATGGCTCGGTTCACGTTTAACCGATCATGCGGGGAGATCTGTTCATGATTTTGCCTTGGCATATGGTCTGACACAACTTGTTACTTCGCCTACGCGGATTCCAGATGTGGAGGATCATGCACCTTCCCTGTTGGACCTTCTGCTGACCTCTCACCCGGACGGATATCAGATTTCCGTCGACGCCCCTTTAGGCTCCTCGGACCATTGTCTTGTCCGGAGTGTGGTGCCACTCACGCTGAAATCGCGGTTGCATTCTGCAGGCTGCCGCCGTGTTTGGCACTATAGGTCAGCCGATTGGGATGGGATGCGGTCTTTCTTTGCATCCTACCCTTGGGGGCGGGTTTGCTTCTCGCCGGATGATCCCAACGTTGTTGCGGATTCTGTCGCTGATGTGGTACTTCAGGGTATGGAACTTTTTATTCCTTCCTCTGTGGTGCCCATTGGAGGCAAATCTCAGCCATGGTTTGGTCGCTCCTGTAAAATAGCATCATGCTATAAGCAGGAGTGCTACCGAGCCTGGGCTGACGCATCAGCGTCCAGGGATGTAAACACCAGCGCTCTAAAAAAGAAGTATAATTCCGCCTCTAGGTCCTTCAAAAGAGTCATTGCCAAGGCAAAGTCAGAGCACATAGGCAGAATTGGCGAGAGACTAGTTCGTCTTCCTTCTGGAACCCGTGTATTCTGGTCTCTCGCCAAGGCTGTCCAGCGGAATTTCTGTCAGCCATCTCTTCCATCTCTGCACAGGGAGGACGACTCACTGGCCCACACCGCAAAGGAGAAAGCCGATCTTCTAGGCTCTTTCTTTGCGTCTAACTCGACTCTCGATGACGGGGGGAGTACGCCGCCGACCATCCCGCGGTGTGAGTGCTCCATGCCGGAAGTGCAGTTCACTCAGCGCTCGGTTCGCAAAGCACTCCTCTCCCTGGACATCTATAAGTCGAGTGGGCCTGACGGCATCCCCCCAATTGTGCTGAGGACGTGTGCTCCAGAGTTGGCACCGGTTTTAACGCGTCTTTTCCGGTACTCCTACTCCCTAGGCGTAGTCCCAAAATCATGGAAGACGGCTTTCGTCCACCCGATCCCTAAAAAAGGCGACCGCTCAGACCCGTCCAACTACCGGCCTATCGCCATCACCTCCTTGTTCTCCAAAACAATGGAGTCCATTGTAAACTGCCAGCTCATGAGGTACCTTGAGGATCACCAGCTGATTAGTGACCGCCAATACGGTTTTCGCCGTGGTAGGTCAGCTGGTGATCTTCTGGTCTACCTAACTCACAGATGGGCGGAGGCAGTAGAGTCCAAGGGGGAGGCATTGGCCCTTATTTTGGACATTGCGAAGGCCTTCGATCGGGTTTGGCACAAAGCGCTTCTTTCGAAGCTCCCTTCCTATGGGCTTCCCGAGAAATTGTGCGATTGGATCACCAGTTTTCTTGCAGATCGGAGCATCAAGGTCGTTGTAGACGGTGCAAGCTCCGATTGCAAGCTTATTAATGCTGGTGTTCCACAGGGCTGCGTGCTATCGCCAACGCTGTTTCTTCTGCATATCAATGATATGTTGCAAACCCGTAGCATTCATTGCTATGCAGATGACAGCACTGGTGATGCTCTTTACACCGGCCGAGCCAATATTTCTCGGGAAAACGTCTCTGAGTGCCGGGACAAACTTGTGTCTGAAGTCGAGTCTCTGCTGGACAGAGTCTCGGATTGGGGGCGACTAAATCTAGTCCAGTTTAACCCCCAGAAGACACAAGTTTGCGCGTTAACCGCTAAAAAGAACCCCTTTGTCGTATCCCCTCAGTTTCAAGGCACTCCCCTTGTTGCCTCAGCCAGTATCGGAATCCTCGGCGTCGACATATCGAGTGACGTGCAGTTTCGTGGTCACTTGGAAGGGAAGGCCAAATTGGCCTCTAAAAAGCTTGGCGTGCTCAGCAGAGCGGGACAGTATTTCATGCCGGCACACCGCCTGCAACTTTATAAGGCGCAGGTTCGGCCGCTCATGGAATACTGTTCCCATCTCTGGGCTGGGGCTCCCCAGTACCAGCTCCTTCCACTTGACCGCATCCAGCGCAGAGCGGCTCGAATCGTCGACGACCGAGTGCTTTCCGATCGGCTCGATTCACTGGCGCTGCGAAGAGATGTTGCATCTCTTTGCGTTTTTTCGCATCTATCACGGGGAGTGCTCTGAGGAATTGTTCGGATTAATCCCAGCCGCCAAATTTCGTGAACGCACTACACGGCAAACGTCCCGATACCATCCACACCATCTGGATGCTTGGCGGTCCACCACTGTACGTTTCAAAAGGAGTTTTCTTCCGCGTACAACCTCTCTGTGGAATAATTTACCACCGGTGATTTTTCCGGACCGATACGACCTGGGGACCTTCAAGAAAAGAGCTTACTCCTTTCTAAAGGGCCGGCAACGCACCTGCAATTCCCCTGGTGTTGCGGTTGATCATGGGCGGCGGTAGTCACTTAACATCAGGTGAGCCACATGCTCGTTTGCCCCCTCTTCTATAAAAAAAATAAATACAACGATGGAACAAATACATAGATGGAATGCCTCTTTTCCAGTAAAATCTGTCTCCTTGTTCTCTAAACTAACCCTGAGAAACACTGCAGCATTATTCTACTATTTTACACTGGTATACTGTGGGGGCGTGGTTCTTACTAGGTGGAACCAATTCGTGCTACAACTGTAATAAAACTGAAGCGTGGCTCTACCACGTAAGAAATAACGTAAATATTGTAACCTTTGTAGTAAATTTGTAGCTTACTGTTGCTTAGAAAAGTTTGTAAACTAAAGAGTTAAACCAGAACTTATGATTATTATATGTTGATGTTAAATTGTTTTTTATATATTTTGTTTAATTTTCAGGAACAAGCACGTGCACAGTTACAGCATTGATTTTGCTACCAGCTTTAGCTCAGTCATTACTGGCAGTCCAATGA